CATTTCGAATCTCGAAAATTTGTAATCCAATTCAAATAGCCCCGATTTTGTGTCTTTAAGCCATGGGAGACGCTGATTCTGTCTCGTTTACTAAATTTCCGCTTATCCCATGTGAAAAACTAACTAGATCAGCAAACTATAGCATATGGGCTCGTGCTGTCAATATGTGGTTTCATGTTCAGGAATATGAAGATCACCTAACCGAACAATTGACTAATGTTGTCGTCTCCAAACTCGCTAAATGGAAGAAAACTTATGCCTCTCTTCTTACTGTGTTATGGTTCTCCATAGAACCTAACCTCCAATCGCAGTATCAAGCATTCTCCACTTGATATGAGGTTTGGGAAAAGGCCAAGAAAGTCTTCTTCAGCAACGTTCATTGTCTATACAGTGTCATCTTTAAACTCGACACACTGAAGTTGGAGAATATGGATATACAAGCCTATTTGAGTAACATTGATGCCTTGAAAGCAAGTTACAAAACCCTCGTGCCTTACGCAAAATATGCAACAACTCATTCCGAACAACAGAGTAAATTTTTCATGGTCATGGCACCTAACTGACTACCATCAGAACTTGAGTTCGTTCGTAACCATATTTTGTTAGGTACTATTTTTCCTAATTATGATGCAGTTAATGAACAACTATTGTGCTTGGCTACACCTCATGCATTTGGTTTGATTTCCCCTTCATTTATTGTTGCTCCGACACCAAGTGACACTCCTGCTCTTGCATCTCTTAGAATCAATCAGAATTTCCTTCAAGGAGGGTCATTCAACTCCAAACCTCGTCCCAAGTGTGACCATGGTAACCGACTTAGGCATATTATCAATCGTTGCTGGAAGTTACATGGCAGACCTTCACGCCAGGTAAATGCAGCTCAAATTGATAACTCAGACACTATGCAGACTTCACCTTCTATTTAGAACCCTACGCCAAGCTACGAGGATTTTCTCAAGTGGTGTCAGACTAATCAGACCTCTGGTTCCACGACTTCAGTTGCACACACACTGGTAATTCATCTGTTTGCTTCTCTCAATCATCTCCTTTGGTTCTTGGGTCCTCTATTCTGGCGCGTCTAATCATGTTTCTGGTAATAATTAAGGTCTTTTTTCTTCCCTCTCTACCTTTTGTTTCTTACCAACTATAATTGCTGCAAATGGTTCTCAAACCCGATCCCATAGGATTGGTACTGTTCAAATTCTACCATCTCTCCCTGTTACTTCTATCCTATATGTACCTAATTGCCCATTTAATTTACTGGCAGTCAGTCGTTTAACTCATTCTCTTAATTGTTCTAGCACCTTTACTAATAATAATGTTACTCTGCAGGATCAGAGTTCGGGACTGACGATTGGCGTCGGATGTGAGTCTCAAGGCCTCTACTACTTATCTACGTCATCTACCACATGCTCCACCACAGATTCTCCACTTATTATACATGCTTAGTTAGGTCATCCAGGTCTTCCCAATCTACAAAAGTTGGTGCCCATTTTATCTAAATTATCCACTTTACATTGTGAGTCTTGTTAGTTAGGGAAACATACTTGTAGTCACTTTTCTGATCGAGTCAATAAACTGGCTGCGTCCCCTTTTGCTTTAGTTCACTTCGATGTTTGGGGTCCCTTGCGTACCGTCTCTACTTTCGAGTCTAGGTATTTTGTAACTTTTATTGATGATTTTTCACGTTGCACGTGGCTATTTTTAATGAAGAACAGGTCTGAATTATTTTCCATTTTTGAAGAATTTTATCGAGAACTAAGAATCCAATTTGGTTTGTCTATTCGTACCTTAAGAAGTGACAATGGACGTGAATATTTATCCAAATAATTTCAAACTTTTATATCATACAATGGTATTGTGCACCAAACATCTTACCATTATACACCCCAACAAAACGGGGTAGCTGAATGCAAAAATCGGTATCTCGTAGAAACCACTCGGACCCTACTTCTCCACGGTAATGTTCCTCTACGGATTTAAGGGGATGTCGTGCTCACGACATGTTACCTCATAAATCACCTGCCTTCATATGCCCTTAATAATAAACTCCCTCATTCAGTTTTGTTTCCAAACTCTCCTCTTCACCCAATTCCTCATCGAGTCTTCGAGTCTACGTGTTTTGTACACAATCTCTCCCCTGGTCTTGATAAACTATCAGCTTGATCAGTAAAGTGTGTCTTTCTTGGCTATCATCGACCTCAAAAAGGTTATTGTTTCTACTCACATACTCTACAACGATACCTCATATCGGTCGATGTTACATTCTTCGAGTTTGTTCCATATTTCGAGTCCAACCAAGTAACTCCGAAACCTCTACAAGAAAGTATTGCCACACCTCTTCCACAAGTCCCAATTGTCATTATCCCCCATCATTCTAGGGAACCTGGCCCACTAGATACACCTACGGATGACCCCCCCCCCCCCTAATTCTCTCCCACTTCAAACATATCAGCATAGTCACTCAACGTTTATAAAATTTGTCCTTGAGGTCGTACCTGTACCTGAGGTCAATACAGACTCTCCTCTGACAATCTCTCCATCGCCAGATCTGATCATGCAACCTGAGTCTGATCTTCTGACTGCCCTTCAAAAAGGTATATGTCAAACACGAAATCCTTCTCCACATTATATTGATTTTATGTTATCATCATCTTTCCCCTTTGCAGTATACTTGTTTGTCTTCTTTGTCTTCTGATTAAATTCCTAAAACTCCAGGTGAAGCACTATCTCACCCTGAGTGGAGACAAACAATGATTGATGAAATGTGCGCTCTTCAAAGCAGTGGTACCTGAGAACTGGTTCATCTACCCCCTGGAAAATCTTTAGTAGGTTGTCGTTGGCTTTATACAGTGAAGGTTGGTCCAGATGGTAAGATTGATCGATTTAAAGCTCGCTTGGTAGCCAAAGGATACGCTCAAATTTTTGGGTTGGATTATAGTGATACCTTTTCGCCTATAGCTAAGATGACATATGCTAGACTTCTTCTAGCCATTCGACATTGGCCTCTTCATCAATTTGACATCAAAAATCCATTCTTACATGGTGATCTTAAAGAGGAAGTATATACAGAGGAACCACCTAGGTTTGTTGCTCAAGGGGATTCATTGAATATGGTTTGTAGGCTACACATGTCTGTTTATGGTCTTAAGCAATCTCCGAGAGCTTGGTTTGGCAGATTCAGCATTGTAGTACAACAGTTTGCTATGGTTCGTAGTGAAGCTGACCATTCTGTTTTTTTATCGTCACTCAGCCTAAAGGTGTATTTATCTTATTGTGTATGTAGATGACATTGTCATAACTGGTAGTGATCAGCAAGGCATACTCCAGTTGAAACATCTCTCGAAACAATTTTAGACAAAAGATCTTGGTAAACTCCGTTATTTCTTTGGTATTAAAATAGTCCAATCTAAAGATGGTTTGGTGATTTCTCAGCGGAAATATGCTATGAATATTTGGGAAGAAACATGTTTGTTAAATGCTAAACCAATTGATACTCTTATGGATCCAAATGTCAAACTATTACCCAATTAGGAAGAGCCTCTATCTGACTCAGGAAGATATAAGTGATTGGTTGAAAAATTGAATTATCTCACAGTCACCCGTCTGAACATTTCTTTTGCAGTCAGTGTGGTAAGTCAGTTCTTAAATTTCCCTTGTCAGATACACGTGGACGTTGTTATCCGAATTCTGAAATACATCAAATGTGCTCCAGAAAAAGGTCTTGTGTATGAGGATAAAAGACATACCCAGATAGTTAGATACTCCGATGTTATTGGGCAGAGTCACCCATTGGCAGACGATCCACCTCTGGGTATTGTGTACTTGTTGGAGAAAACCTTATATCCTGAAAAAGTAAGAAACAAAATGTAGTTACAAGTTCAAGCGCCGAGGCAGAGTATAAGGTCATGGTAATGGCAACATGTAAACTTATTTGGTTAAAACAGTTACTCAAGGAACTTCAAATTAAAGAAGTAAGAACAATGACACTTATTTGTGATAATCAAGCTACATTACACATTGTTTCAAATCCAGTCTTCCATGAGAGGACTAAACATATTGATATAGACTGTCACTTTGTCAGAGAGGAGTCAAGTGACATCGCCACAAGTTTTGTCAACTCTAGTGAGATAGACTATCACTTTGTCAGAGAGAAGATTGAGTCAAGCGACATTGCCACAAGTTTTGTCAACTTTAATGATCAATTGGTAGATGTGTTTACAAAATTCTTGCGGAGCCCCAGAACCAATTATATATGTAACAAGTTTGATGCATTTAACTTATATGCTCAAGCTTGAGCATGTGTTGATAGTGTGTTGATATTTATATATGTATATTTAAAAAGAGAATATTGTCTAAAAAAATTGCCCAGAGAATATTCCTCGGTGTATTTTAAAAATAGAATAGAATAACTATATAGCTAATAGTATAAGCTGTACTTTTTTTCCTTATAATACATTTTCCGTTGTGCTATTAAAAAATATGGGTCCCAGTCCTCCTAATTCAATAATTATTTTGTCAAAATTGCTAATATTAATCTGGACGGAAGTGTTAAATTAATGAAAACTACTCTTCTTATGGTATGCACATTGAGTAAACTTCCTCTAGCTTATCATCTTCCATGATTGAAACTTAACTAAGCACTTTCTATATTATTGTAAAAAAAAAAAAAAAGTCCCTTCTCTAGTAAACCTCGAAAGCTTATCATCTACTTCGTTTATTTTACTGAAGCATATGCAAAAACAGATTAAAAGTAAAAGCGACAACATAATCAAAAAGTTCAAAATGCTAATAACATTTTTAAAAAGATAAATATGCTGCTGAGTTGACAAAAAGGACATTTTGAAGTCCAATAAATATCACTTCCTGCTAATTTAAATATCAAGTCTACACAATCAATCATCACAAACCAACAGATATAAAGTTCACATAATATGCACATCAAATATTTTTGGTTCCTCTTCTTTCAACTGGTTTCTAGAGAAGGTACTATATGCACATCAAATGCTTGTGGTTCCCCTTCTTTGAACTGGCTTGTAGAGGACGGCGGTAACATATTTGTTACGAAAGCGTTGAGTGAATCCCAAAGCCACCACGGATCTTTGAGGCTCTCTATTCTCAATATAAAGATGATTAAGAATCGCGCTTTGGGGCAATGGAAGAGAACTAGAACTACCAACATTAGCAGGATAGCCGATGAAGGTTTGTTGCAATTGTGGAGGAGCCTCTGGTGGATCACGTGCTTCATCATCAGTCAAAGTGTATACGTTATTGTAACCGGAATCAGATGTCTTCAAAACTTCAAATCCCATGACAGTTGCTTCACCCTGCATGTAGATTGTCAATTTAGATATACTACTTGAATTAGGAATCAAACTCGGTGCCCCCGAAATTGAAATTACTCAAAAGACCCTGCACACCAACCACTTGCGCTAGACATACTACTGAATAATATGAGATGTAATAAAATGATACATGAATTACTTACTGGGTTTGCAGCATATGGATTATTCATCTTGCTATTCAAGTCAACCACAAACTGTGAATTCATCACTTAGAGTCCAAGAAACCTGAAGAAAGAGACTTCAATTAAGCATAAACAATGAATAATTCACAAACATCTATAATACTATGGATATGCTCCAATTGCTTAATTTAAAGAGCACTGCTTCAGAACATTGAATAAAAACTACAGAGCAAAGTAAAGTAATGGGAACAATGATTTATTCGTAAAAAGAAAAAATCTGATCACAACTTATAGTTAAGGATGGTATCTTCCTAATGAACAAAGTTAGAAGATTATGAATGTTCAAATGATATTTACAGGCAACATTCTAAAATTTTAAAATAGAAAACAACATATTCACAATTCTTCACACAACTGTCACCATATTCAGAACCTAATACATGCAAAGAGAAAGTATAAGTGAGCCATATAATATAACTAAAGCCCTGATTACTACAACTCAACAGAGGATACGATGTCCTTCACTGTAGAAAAAAAAATCACAAGTTAGCATTTCACAAATGTGATCGACAACAAGCTTCAACATATTTAACAAGTTGTATAGAACGCTAATAGCGTAATAACATAGTATATTAATTAAACTCCCAAACTCCAACATGCATAGTTGGTCTTACAAATCTGAGCAATTTGAGATATAAATAACTCGCAAGTTTTTAATCAAATTACCAAAACAAATATAAAGAGAATAAAGATATCACATTAAAACAGGAGAAATCCTGAGAATCTTGATAAGATTCGCGATCACAACAAATACAGGAATACAGATTCAGAAGTAACAACAGTGTGTGATGTGACACAACCTATACTAAGAATCTTAACACTATTTCTTGTATGATCCGGTAACCAACATATCACAATGAGAATCATGAAGGAAAACAAACACATATGGATCAATAAACAATCAATGCCATGAACCTAAAAGTCTTATAGTGAATCAGATTATACTTCAAATCAACTTCGGTGAGACTACAATATGGACTACTCTACTTCAAATACACTGTCAAACTGATTATACTATACTATAGTCATCAAACAACAAAGACCCACCAAAAGATTCAATTTTCAAACAACATCAAAATCAAACCTACAATAAGATTAAACAGCAACATTCACCCAGCCAGTGGGTACCTAGACTCATTCAATATTTTTGTCGCTGGCTGATCATATTATTCATGAAACTCCGGTCTGTTAAGACTATGTGGTTGAGCCTAACTCAACCATACAAAACCGACATGTAAGATGAGGATGGTTTGGCCTAACTCAGCCATACAAAACCGGTTTGTAGGGTGAAGATTGCCCCCATTTATAAGCACATGTTAAGGCCATATATTCAATGTGGGACCCTTAACACAATCACCAGCTAAATGCTACCACCACAAAAATCAAGCTAAAAATCTATATTCAAATCTTCATAATGTATGTCATATCGCCATTATACATTTTCTTTCTTCCTAGAACAACTTACCATAGATAATGGCTTAATTGCATGCACAAACACAAATCCAAATCATAGATTACACGCTCAATTCATCATCATACAAAAATAAATTCAATGACAACAAGCCAGATAACAAAACCCTAAGAAAACAAAAGCATAAACAGAACTAAATAAACAAATTGAAAACCCTATTACACAGAATTTGGGGGAAAATTGGTATGAACCGAATGCAATAACAAAAAACAAAAATTCTAACCGATTAATAGCAAAAACACAAACTTTACCTTGTGTAATCTCGTTATAGATTTCGATATTAACGAAACCAAAGCACAGAAGGTGAAGTGATTGGCGATGTAAACTCGAGCGCATTCAGCTGCAAATGAAAAAAAAGAAGTGATGATTAAGAAGAAGTAGGCATTGATTTTGAAGAAACGAAACGAGTTATAGCAGTTTGGGGAAAAACGAACCCTAAGGGTGTGTTTGGTTCGGGGTAGATGGAGGGGAGGGGAGGGGAGGGGAGGGGAAATTTTTAATTAAATATGTTTGGTTCAAATTTTAGGAGGGGAGGGGAGGGGAGGGGAGGGGAGCAAAATCCCTCCAAAACACACTTTTTGGTTCCCTCCGAATTGGGGGGATTTGGAGGGGAGGGGAGGGAATATGAGTTTTAATATTTAAAATTTATTATATTTACTAAAATATACTCAGTTTTATTTTATTATTTCAAAACTATTTGTTATCTTTTGTGTTACTGTTTTTTCTAGATTGTTTTCATCAAATTATTATAATTGTTCTCCACCTTCAAATTATTTTATAATTTTTATACTTAATATAAATCATAATTATTGTCTTTTTTTTATAAAAAAATTATGTTTCGTTATATTCGTTTTTTTCTTTTAATTTTGTTATGTACTCTATCATATTTTCTTTTATATCAAATTGTAAACCATATCATTTTATTTATTTTTGTTTATTCATTTTATTAAATATTTTGAACCATTAATATTTAGTAATAAGTTATTTTATATATTTGTTTTGTTATATGATTCATTATAATTTAAACGATGTTATTGGCATATAGTTTAATTTATGTTGGAAAATTATAAGTCGAATCAATTATACTCAATTTTTTAACTTTATGTGACAAATAAATATTTTTTTAATCACTCAATATTAGAAATTTTATTACCAACAAAAATATGCACGAATTTTTCACATTTTAATATCGTATGACTTATATAAGATCATAAGGATAAAACTGTAAATTATTAATAAAACCCCTCCCCTCCCCTTCTGAACCAAACACATTTTTAATTAAAATTCCTCCCCTCCCCTCCCCTCCTCTCTTTTGAACCAAACACTTATTTGATTAAAAAATTCCTTCACCTCCCCTCCCCTCCCCTCCCCTTCATTAAAATCCCTCCCCTCCCCTCCCCCTCATTTGAACCAAACAGACCCGTAGTGTACCAACAACAACTTTCAGCAACACGAACCAAAACACCTTGCCTCCATAACTGTACCTGTACCAAAACACGCCAGACAAAAAAAAACCGCTGCTACCAAATCATACAAGCAACATACAACAACCACTACACAATAACAGACGGAAATTCATAAATTGAAAAAAATTTGGTTGTTTTAAAGGAGGTGAAAAAACATACATAGTAAAGAGAGAAAAATTTATCTGCAAAAAAAAACCTTAAACAAAACTTTGAGATTTTCTCGTTTTCTTTCTTTTACCCATACAATAACCACTGTACCAGACCCCAACATCTCCTCACACCGACGATTTCTCTCTTACAGCCACCCATTTTCTCTCCCTTCTTCAATCATACTCGACCATCCTCTTCCACCTAACATCCTTCTTCAACCAAAACTCACAACCCAATTTTTACAAAACCAAACCCATTCCGAATCAGAAGAAATATGAGAAGAAGAGAGAGTGAGAAAAAGCAAATGATTCATAAACCACAAACATGAGACCGAGATCAAACATGAGACCGAGATCAAACCTGAAACACGAGCAGAATGGAGGCATAAGCAAAGAGTGAGTGAGAGAGGTTAAGAATGAAGGTGAGAAAATACTTAGAGGGGGTGTTGAATAAGGATTTAGAATATATTATGGCAATAAAAACACAATGATTTTTATCCTGGTTCGTTGAACTCAACTAATCCAGTCCACCCTATCAAGAGTGATTTGCCTTTCTCCACAAGGACTTAATCCACTATAATCAAATTGATTATAATATCAACCACTAAGAACAACTGTCTTAGTCTTCTCAAGAACTACTGACCACAACTTGGTCTTCTTAAGGAACTTTTACAATCAAATGTAAACTAAACAAGTGTTTGAAATGCTTCTAAGAAAGCTATATCACGACTGTGATTTACACTTAAGTTTAAGAACGTATGAAACAATTCAACAAAGAATAAATAATTTGTATGAGAGCTTTGAGAGAGTTTTCAATGAATTTGTCAAAATACGTCAACTGAAGAAAGTTGTTGAAGGCTTGCTTAAATAGACAAGGAAGTCCAAGACGTTGCAAGCTTGAAGACCGTGTACTGCAAAGTAGCTGTAGCCTTTTGTCTTCACATCACTTGACCTTTCCTAGAAGTATAACGTTCATAGAAATCCTTTTTGCCTGAGTTCTTGTGTCTAGCATGAAAGAGGAAAGAGTCGTTTGGCATAACCAACGGATATAAATTTGAATAATATTCTTCAACAAGTTTCTATTTCACAGCAATCAACATCAGAACCTTGAGTGATCAGAATCTTGATGTCATCAGAGTTTGTTGTATCAGAGTGTTGCAGCAAGTGTGCTTCAGCGTGAAATTAAACAGAGCAGAGTTTGGAGATCAGATCCTCAGTACTTGCAGCAAACAGTACTATCAGAGTCTTCTGAAAAACAGTGCTTGAAACTCTTCATACAAAGTCTTCAGTCTACGCTTCAGATGCTTCTGTAGCTTCTGCTTCAGAGTCTTCTGTAGGCAGCGCTCAGAGTCTTCTAACGAGATGCTTCTGACGCTCAGAGCCTTGCGTAGTTCAACGTTCAGATCCATTTTTGCTTTCAGAAGAATATTAAATTTAATATCTGCAGCAAAAATACTTGAACAAATTTAGAGTATATAATTTCTTAATACAAAATTTCATTAGTGTTATCATCAAAACATAGAGATATAACTAAGAACCAATTTGTGTTCTAACAAAGAAGCGATCGAGATTCACCGAGAGGAAGGTTGGAGATGGAGACACGTTTTCTGGATTTTTATTTGAGGATTCCACATTTTCTCTTTTTTTTAACCTGTTTTTCTTTTTTCCATTTTTTAAAAAAGAAAGAGAACTTGGTTCTTATATGAATTTGGTGCGTGGACTTGATGCGTTGCCATTATTTAGTTCAAAAAAAGAAAAATGTGATAAGCCTTTTGCCCTTATTTCCACTCGAACCGTGCTTTTGTTTTAATTCACACCACACCAGTTTTGTTTCTCCATTTTTTGTGCCATTAAAAAAACATAAGTCCTTGTGTTTTGTAATTTGTTGGAGTAGTTATTTGGGCTCTTAAGCCCGTTTTTATTTCACCACCCACACAT